GAGAGAGAGAGAGAGAGAGAGAGAGAGAGAGAGAGAGAGAGAGAGAGAGAGAGAGAGATTTTTTGCTGGGGATCTAACCCAGAGCCTTTCATATACCAGTCCAGCACTCTACCACTCAGCCACACCCCAGCCCTGAATTTTTTTAAAACTTCCTAGTGATTCTATTCTACAGCAGATAGGAAACCACTGCTATTTTATTCTACAGCAGATTAGAAATAAAAGAACAAATTTTTCTTGCTAAGAAGATTAAAGAGAGGGTCAGAGATGCAACTCAATGGTAGAGCACCTGCCTAGCACACTGTAGTCCTTGGTTTTTTATCACCATCATAAAAGAAAGTAGGAAAGAAGGAAAGAAAAAAGGAAGGAAGGAAACCTTAAGTCTGCAGGCTTCCTACACCTCGTAACTCCAGCATGGGATTTGCCTGTATTAATCATTCTTTCTCAAGGCCCACCTGCCCTGTATTTATAGGATGATGACTCAAGAACCTTGACCCAGAAACCTAAAAATAATGGTCAGCATCCACAAGTCTCACCTATTAGGACAAAAAGGAAAAATGGTTGCCGGGCTCTATGCCAGGGTGACCTCGGGAGTCCTTGGAGGTGTGCCCAATGATTTCCCTAACAGACCACTCAAGTTTTCTTATTGAAAGGGAACACATTGGCCAGATACATCTTGCCACCTAGAATTTGCTCATATGGGTGACTTTTGTATTTCTTCTTATCTTGAATTTATAAGATCAAGAGAAATTAGAAATTATAATTAAATCACCTCAACTCACTGGGCCCAGGAATGACTACTAATGATTTTAAACCCAATAGCAGGGCATTTTGCTTTGGCTTCTAATATTCAAAGTAGGGTCTCTGCACCCTCATAGCAGCAGACCTTACAGAAGCACTGAGAAAGAGCAGGACTGGGATAGGGTCGGATCCCTGAGATGGAGACCAGGAGGAATCAGAATTCTCTTCCAGGCTTCTGGGTGGGTTGTAGGGGAGATGAGGAGCATAAATGAGGAGCAGATTTGACACAGGAAGACAAGGAATGGGTATTGTGCCAGGATGGGTTTTAGACATGACAAAATGCATTTCACTAGGACAAAGAGCAGAGTTTTAATGTTTGGAGGCTCAAAAGGAGACCAGGATACAGGTCTAACAGTCCTGGGACACACATGGTAAGTTTGGTCATGGAAGGAGCTGGTCGTTGAGAAGAATGAAATGAACAAAGGACGCTGGACAGAGTCCCAAGGAATTCCCACGTTCCAAGGGCAGAACCTGAAAAGAAAGAGACAGAGTGTTAGAGAAAACCCCAAGAGAATGGGGTATCATGGAACGATGCAGAGAGAGTATTTCTAGAAGGACTAGACACAGAGGTCTCACCTGAGAACTGTGAAGACATGGAACGGTGCTCCCCTCACCTCCCCACCTCCTCCCCACCCACCAGAATCCCCACCCCAGCCTCACTACTAGATGGTCACATGAGCATGCGCATTCCTCCTTCCAGCCCACGGTGCAGGTATTTCAGCCAGGGTAGAGGCACTACCCACGTCTCTCCAGACAGTTCTCCTTGACCTCTTCTCTTTCTGCTCAGATGGTTCCAGGAGAGGAGGCAGGGCCCATCCTTCTGGGTATTTCTCTAACATAGACACATGGCCCCCATACCCAGAAATTATAGCATGTAGGGCTCCACATGTTATTGTTATGTAAATTTTCACCAAAAAAAAAGAGGGGAAATGTAATTTCCCTTGCTTAACAGTGAGCTCCTTCCTTAGCCAATTTCTATCGTGACCTAAATTCTGTCATTTTTAACATGTGTGAGTTTCTCCACAATCCTGACAAATACTGTCAAATTTTTAACTTAACTAAATGAAACTAAATCTGGCTAAAGGTCATTATAAATTGAGATTGGTCTGAAATTTAGTACTGGCCAATTTTCTGGGCCCGGCTATCTTCCTTTTTTAGAACAAGTTTACCATCTCTTTCCTGGGCACAGAAAATGAGGGTAGAATCTCGGTCTTCAACCCTGGGCAGCTGCCATGACCATACTCCTTGGACATTAGAAATGGTGCTCCACATCTCACATGACAAGTTGGCTGAGTCATGGGGGATCTTCCTCCAGGTTCCCAGAGCCTGTCCTCCCTGGCACTCACCTGGTCATCTGCACCCATGATCCTTCTACCCAGTGGTACTGCCACAGGTCCAGGGCCTCCAGGCACAGAACCCACAGTCTAGGACCTTCTTGCCAGGCCCTTTCTTCAACTCCTGGGGAGCTTACGGCCAAGACTATGGGACACAATGATATCTCAGAAGTTTATTCCATCTCACTCATTAAATTTCATTAATTTAATTGACTCGCCCTTTGTTGAGTCAATTTTAAAAATAGACATCGAGATAAGACACTGTGTTCCTGGACCAGACTTTACCAGACACATAATAAGTATATCAGATTATTTTTTTAATTTTTTTTTAATATTTATTGTTTAGTTTTCGGCAGACACAACATCTTTGTTTGTATGTGGTGCTGAGGATCGAACCCGGGCCGCATGCATGCCAGGCAAGCGCACTACCGCTTGAACCACTTCCCCAGCCCTGATTATTTTTAATTCATCCTTTTTTGATGCTATTGTTGCACGCTATTCCATGTCAGAATCACTGTTTTCATGAAGAAAAATGTTCTGGCGTGGCACATAGCACCTGTCTTCTGAACTTGTGGTAGACCAGAATGTCCTCTTATAAAATCTCCACTCAATATTGTTTCTTAATATTTTGAGGAGAAAGGTTTTATAAGTGTCACCTTGGTACATGGGAAGCCCACACATTTTAGAATCCCAACATGTTAACTTTCTGGGTCTCACAAATCCCAGTGATGTCTACACCATTTCCCTTCTAGCAAAAAAACTCAAATAAGTGTGAAGTATGCCGCCAAGAGAAACAGCTGGTCTTCTGCAGTACTTGTTCAAGATCCTACCATCAGAACTGCCACATCCCACCCGTAGATGCTCAGAGGTTGGTAAAGCACCTTCATCCACACCCTTTGTCCTTTCTTCTTGGGATATGGTTCCTTTCACCATGCACACATATCTTGCAGAGCTTCTGTCACTGGTAGGGTGCACCCTAGATGCAGAAGGAGCAGGATGCTTAGCATCTCGAGATCCAAAAGCATCATCCAGAGCTATTTAATGGTGCTGGCAAATGTAGATTTCATGGAAAGCAAAAGTTCTTTGCAAGTGGTTGTTAGGTATAGTAGTAAGAGCTGCCTGTCACTCCCACCTCTTCTACTTGGTTCCCAGACCGTGCACTCTGACGGGCGGTAATATCCAAAACTGACTGCTGATGTTAGGCATATATCATCTGCTGTGGGAACATTGCAAAGTTGATCAAGCTGGTTCTGTAATGAGCCTTCAGAAGTCCAGCCCAGCAGTCTATCAAGCCAATTGAGTCTGGGTAACTGGGCACATTAAAAAAGACCTGTGACTTCTGTCCGTGTTAACACCCTGATGCACTTCTTTTGCTGTGTGTCTTTGGACAGAGGTGATGGGGTGCATAACTCCACAGAGGTCAATAAGGGGTTCTGGGAGTGGTTTTGTGGGCAGAATTATGGTGGACAGGAGAATGATCTCTACCAGAAATGTGACTGTCTCTGTGGGGACAGAGCACTGCCCTTCTGTGATGTGGTCCCCTGCTCCTAGTGCAACATCTCAGAGGATCAGTGTAAGCCTCTGCTTTTGACCGGTTGGGCAATCTGCAGAGGCAGAAAACAGAGAAGCTCTTTCGTCCAACCCACTTGTAGTTCCCATCTCTTCACCATGGGCACATAATGGGCCCCTAAAGTAATCACTGGGTGGCCAAGAAGAGGCTGACATTGCTAGGACGGGTCATTGTGTCCACCTGATTTACCAAGACCCTCCTAGCACCTCCTAGAACCCGGAAGAGATTAGAGAATGAATCCTGGGGCAAATGGAAGCCATCTGACACCCTGTCAGTAGATTTCCCTTCCAAGAAGTTTCTGCAGCTCAGATTCTAGGTACAGCTCTGGCACAGATAGAGGAGAGGCTGCCTTAGCCTGTGCGCTGTGCTTACTTGGCCCAATTGAGAAATGGGAGCTGGTTTCCTGATTTCAACTAGGGTTTGATTGACTGATCAAGTTCCAGAACTTCTGGGCTTAAAGTAGTAAATTCCAATAGTTGATCAAGGCTCACAGAGACTCAGATGGGAATTCCAAGTTCTGAGGTGAACAAGAGTCCACCACTCCCTGGGGCATCTCAGTCAACACACTGCCACTCTGTGACCACTATTGATGGAAGGGGATGTCCTTGGCTATATGGACGTTGGATACATGGCAGAAACCACTAGATACTCTTGAACTTTAGCAGCCATGGGAACGGTGGCTGGTTCACAAACGGTGCCCTTGCTCACTTTACTCCTGACCTCTCAGGAGCCAGTGGAGTTGCACCTTATGCAGGACAAAGGCCTGGGAAAAGCACCCAGAAAGCCAACCATGTCATCTGGAATCTGAGGTCTTGAAGAGGCCTATGCTGCCTGAGGAACAGCTGGTAAGTCAGTGTGACCCTGAAGCCCCCTCCTTTCTGTTCACACAGAGAAGCACAGACTGGCAGAGGTGGGAGAAATGGTGCCCCATGGCAATCGTTGGCCAATGTTATGTTTTGACTACTTGACCTACCACCAAAATTCACATTCCAGAGAAAATCCCCATTCCATGTTTATTTGAAAGAGCCCGCAGGTCTGAGAGCCATGCATTCTCTCTAGACAGGCTTCTGGCTCTTTCTCTCCATGCTACCTTTTCCTTAAAATCTCCTCTGTCTTTTACAGAAATGTGAGCTGATCCTATTGAAGGTCTATTGTTATTCACAAAGTGCCTTTTTTGCCCAAGAACCATATTATGTAAGTAACAGCAACAAAGCCAGAAACTTGCATTAGTCAAATTTGTGATCTGAATCCTATGAGTCCAAGCTCCCATCACCTTTGCCTTGTTGATGGTTGTCTTTGTTCAGTCTGTCCAACAAATGACCACAGACTAACGGGTTTAGAAGCAACAGAAATTTATCTGGAAGTCTAAGGCCCGGGTGCCGGCCTGGTGGGGTTCTGGAGAGGCTACAGAGGGCCACTTCTCACTGTGCTCTCACCTAGTGGAAAGGAGGGGGGCACCTCCTGGAGTCTTAATAATCCCACTCTTGAGGGCTCCGCCTTCCTGACATAATTAGCTCCCAAAGACCCACCTCCTAACACCATCACGCTGGGGGTCAGCATTTTGAAACAAAAATTGGAGAAAGTGGGGTCACAAACGTTCAGACCATAGCATTTGGGATGTGTGGGAGGCAGGCCTGGACCATGCTAATGGCCCTCCCTCGGGGTTCTCCTCAACAGACTCAAGACCCCCAGGAGCACATGTGGTTAAACAAGGTCAAGGAAAGGCTGAATAAGAAGAAGTACCACCGAGTGCAGGGGTTTGTGCGGGACATGCGCCTCATCTTTCTGAACAACAAGGCCTTCTACAGAGTGAGTGGTCCCCTGCGAACCTTCCTCTTTAAGTAACTTTGCCTTTCATTTTATGTCAGATAAAGTTACGATTGCCCTCCCGTGTGGCAAGCCTATAGCAGCAAAAATTCTGGAAATATCCTAAGAGCCCTGGGGCACAAGTGGGAAAAATAACAACAAACCAGCAGATGCCATGGCAAACACCACCCTAGGACTCCGAGTCTGCTCGCTTGCAGACTATTGATTCGTGCCCATGAAGAACTGCCCCTGCAGACCCATTGTCTTCCACAGGAAGTAGAAGTGCATTTTAAAGGCGACTGGTGTGGCTCTTCTCTAAAAGAAGGTAGCAACCTGAATTTCTCAAATTTCAAAGTCCTGGATTTCTTTCTGTTCTAGTCCGCTTTTTCACTGCTGTGACTAAAGGATCTGGCCAGGACAACTAGAGAGAAGGAAAAGTTTATTTGAGAGCTCACAGTTTCAGAGGTTGTCAGGTGGCTCCATTCCCTGGGGCTTGAGGTGAGGCAGGACATCATAGCTGGGGAGTGTGGCGGAGGGAAGCAGCTCACATCCGTGATCAGGAAGCAGAGACTCCACTCTGCAGATACAAATAGACACCCAAAGCCACGCCCCAATTCCCACCTCCTCCAGCCACACCCACCACTTCCCTTACCACTCAGTTAATCCCAATCAGGGGGTTAAATCACTGATTGGGTTAAGACCCTTACAACCCAATCATTTCTCCTCTGAACCTTCTTGCACTGCCTCACACGTGAGCTTTTTGGGGGACACCTCACATACAAACCATAACACTTTCCATCAGAATTTCCTGGTGCCATTATCGAAAAGCTAACAAGGATTTCCGAAGAATAACAGTGAAGGAAATAAGAAGACACCATTGATTGGCCTTGGATATTTCTGCAATATTTTGCTGTTATGAATAATATTGTCTTTAAAAATCAAATAGCAAAAAAAATCAAATAGCAAGAATGTTTTAAAAATTAAATTGATGATTTTCTGAATAAGAATTACAGCGTGATCTACAAGTGGGACATCAAAATTCAAAATATGAAATAGTCCAAAATTTGAAATGTTTTGAGGGACAATATGACATCATGGGTGAAAAATTCCACAGCATGAAATTTTGTTTCATGTATAAAGTTATTAAATATATTGCATATAATTACCTTTGAGCTATCCACAGCAGGTTTATATGAAACACAAATGAAGTTTATGTTTAGGCTCAGGCTCTATCCCCAAGACATCTCATTATGTACATCCTAATATTCCAAAATCTGGAAAAAAAAAATCTAGAACACTTCTGATCCCAAGCGTTTCAGATGAAGGATATTCGACCTGTAGTGCTATTTTGGCTTCTCTGTCTTCCCAACAAAAAGAAATAATCAAGCTATCAGGGAATATAAACTCCTCTTGACTGGGTGGATTCTCACTTGACGTCTGAAGGAGTCTAAATGAGGCTCTGGATACCCGAGACACTGGGAGTCTAGGCTCACCAAACAGTGGCTAAGAAGGTTATTGTTTTTGCTTTTCCAGAACCACAAATTCATCCAGCTGCCGCTTAAGATAGAAGCCATATTCGAGAAGTACTTCAAAAACATTTTTTCAATCCAAGAAACAAGCGAGAGCGTCTGTCAGTTTAAGCACATTATTATGTAACATAGTCCATGTCTGTGTTCCCCCTGGGGACCCTCTGGTTGTGTCACTAGTGACATGGTGCTCTGATGGTCCTCTATTCACTCTGCCTGTTCCTGTACAAATAACCTCATGTCACAATTCTTTTTCATTTTTTATTATTGTTATTGTTCCTTTTTTTAAATAAAACTGAAAATTGTCTTACCCAAGTCTCTAATTGAGTAATTTAGAGTAAAAATTACAATTAAAGGTATCCAATCTTTCTATAAGGGATCAATCACATCATGTCTTTTCATGGATTCAAATCTTCTATTAAGGCCTTCGGTGATTGTTTTTCAGCTTCCAGAGGCTGTTTGAAGCCTTGACGATTCTTGGCTCTTGGGGACTGGCTCTTAGACGCTTGCACGCAGACAAGGAAAAAGTAATTTCCCTCTACCCTTAGAGGTACTTATCTGGGTCGCCTGTCACAATGAACAGGTTAACAAGAGAAAAGAAAAACAGTTCATTAGCATGTATATACAGTCAGGTGTCATTTAATAGCAGGATACATTCTGAGAACTGCATCATTAGGCAATTTTGTCTCTGTGGGAACATCTTTGTACTTATGCAAAGCCAGATGGTGTGGGTTGATCACATGACCTAGCCTTTTGGTGCAGTCAAGTGAGACCATAAATGTGGGACATGAGGCTATTGCTGGCACTTTTTATTTATTTGTTTGTTTATTTATTTTCTTTTTGCAGCACAAGCCATTGAACCAAGGGCCTCACACATACTAGACAAGTATTCTAGCTCCATCCCCAGCCCTTTTTAGTTTTTTATTTTGACACAGGATCCTGCTAAGTTGCTGAAGTTGCCCTCAAACTTGGGATCCTCCTGCCTCGGCCTCTCAAATAGCTGGGATTATAGGTATGCGTCACCATGCCCTGCCTCTGCACACTGTCTTATAGTGAACTTTGTTTTTTTTTATACTAGCAGAAGGAGTATACTCTAAATATAATGATAAATAGCGTCATGCAGACGTGACATTTCCACATGGGAGAATCCCAAGGAAATGAGCATCTTGCCCAGAGGCAATAAAACCCCATCTCCAGGCAAAAACAGAGTGAGGGTGGGTGTGTTTGGGAAAAGTGTGGAAAATAACAGTGGGATTTGTTAGACAGACTTTTGATGTCTTCCTCATTGATAAGTCTCTCATGATCTAGAGTCGTCCATCTCTGGTGTAGCAAGGGAAGCTCTGGTAGCAGTGAAGACCTCCTTAAAGATGCACATTTCCTTTACAAGGGACCATTCTGTTTGTGGGACTTCTCCTCTATTTCTCAAAACAGTCAGCTCAAAACAGTCCTTATGCCAAAGAGGCCTCTTTGCAGGTGACATATTCTGGCCTCCTACCCACCTCATGAAGACCACAGGTGCATTTATGCATCAACAGCCCCTGACTGGATGTAAGTCTTTCCAGAACTCCTTGTGGTCCTTCCATAACAAGACAGCCTGGGCTGCCGGAGGGGAGCTGCTCCAAGCCACTCTTCACTCCCTGCTGGTCTTCTGCAGACAGCTTCCCTTCTGTTCTGAGAGGCTGGAGAGTTTCTGCTTCTCCCCCACGAGGATGGAGCTGCAGGCTGTAAACGGCTCAGCATCAACATGGACGTGGCCATCACCACGTGCACCATACCCAGCCAGCTCCTTTCATTTTACTGCTACCCCATGTGCCCGGAGGGATAAGGACATGGGGAGCTGGCACCTTTGCTTTTTTTAATTTTGCTGTTTTTGCAAGTAATAAACTGAATCCTAAATGGCTCCATGTTTCTTTACCAGACAAATCTGTCAGCCTTGCCTAATGGCTTCCCAGATCCACTGTCTTCTGGCTACGGATAGAGTACCATGTATTAGTATTAGTGGTTCAGAGCATCCACTACAGCCTTCAGGGAAGAACCCCAACCTCAGTGTCAAAATTAAGTCCCCAATGCACCATTTCACCATTTGAATAATGAAATTTCATCACTGGAGTATGTAATTTTGAAGATTAAGTGAGTTTAGGGATGTATATTTTTTAAATCATTCCAGAAACACATGAAGTTATCATAACTACACACAGTAAGAATTCTATGTGAAGCCAGGTACAGTGATGCACACCTGTAACCCCAGCAGCTGGGGAGGCTGAGGCAAGAGGATCATAAATTCAAGGCCAGCCTCAGCAATTTAGTAAGGCCCTGAGCAACTTAGCAAGAACTTGTCTCAAAATAAAAAATTAAAAGAGCTGAGGTTGTGATTCAGTGGGTAAGCACCACTGGGTTCAATCCCCAGTAACCAATCCCCCATGCAAAAGAAAAAAAAGAGAGAGAGAATTCTGTACATAAAATTCTAATTCAAGTAAGAGAGAATAATTCTAAATAACAGCAAGATGAAAGTTGCTTTTTGTTCCTCTGGAGGAAGGATTTATTATGGAAGTTTCCAAGTATGGTATAGAAGTATCACTATCAGATCAGTATGACATTTTGCATAGGTCTGTTCTATATTTAATCATTTGGATGGGCTGTTCTGATGCTGGCCTAGGAGCAGGGAAAAGCTTATTGGCTCTGAAAACCACAGATGTAAGCAATGAAGAGGACAGGTTGAGGTTTTATCAACAGCCTGGGACAAGCACAAACAATTCACATTGTATCCATCACTTTTGACTTCGTATTAACCTCTGAGAAATCCTGAATTTTGCAATCAGGTATTAGTCAATTTCATTTGATAATTTCAGCAGTTTTCTAAATAGTCCTATTTTTTCATCTGCAATATTGAATATTATGGGATTATGAAATGATCCTTTACTCTAGAATTTCTGAAGAAAATAGAATGTGTAAGATGTCATCATTTGTTTTTACATCAAGATGTGTTGTAATACAGCAAAAAGAAAAAAAAAACATATATAGGCTCTTTAAAAGGCATTGCAGAGAACTCTCTCTAAATGCCAAAATCCAAGTTCTCCTCCTCTTCCTGAGCACACAGCTAACCCACATTCCCCAAAGATCAGCCCCGCACTCCTCATTAGCTACCGCCACGGTAATCCAGTGAAGGTACGTGGGCAAAAGTGGGATAGGCAATGCCAAAGCCTGGCCCGTAGGTCTGCCATGCTCTGTCCCCTGGGAGGAGGGATGTCCACCCAGGGTGGTCATGTTGCAGTAAGTCAAAAACAGCAATACCTCCCTTCATCAAACTGGGCCCCGAGGGACAAGGAGGAGAGCTGTGCTGCCATCCTGGCCCCTCTTGGGTGGAGAAAATCCACATCCACAGATCCTGAGTCGTGGCACTCTGTATATTCCTTGACCAGGGTAGACGGCCTGCCCTAACCATTACAGAGTGTATCGTGTGACCATCTAAAGCCAAAACAAAAGTATTTCTAATTGGAAAACATATAAAAATTTGAATCTGTTTTCTCTAGGAAAAGAAGTGTTCATGTGTAACACTATAAGTTCTTATTTGCTGTTGGGTATTTCATAATTGCTTTTTCCAAAGTGAGTTTGTTTTCTACTTTGTCGCCTTCTTCATGGGATCTAGAAAATGAACCAGGGAAGGTTAAAAACAGAAACTTGAAAAGAGTAGGAAATTGGACAACAACTCACATGGCAGACAGAATTGACATCATAATGATGCTTTGTCTCCACTTTTCTTATGGAAAAAAAAAAAAAGCTCAAAGCAGACAATGATGGAATGAATTCTGAATGATCAAAGTCCTGGCTCTACCTCGAATTTTCCATGTTGGTTTGTCAAGATCCTTTAAATATTTACAAGCTTCAGTTTTCACATCTGTAATACCAGTTCCCCTGCCAACCTCTTTAAGTTATTGGATTTTACAAAAGTGATTTGGAAAATCTATACTAAGCCAATCTCATGCTGGAGAATCCTTGTCAATAGTATAATCTGGGGTTCAGTGGGTAAACTAAAAGATTATCTTTTTAGCAGTAACTAAAGAGCAGAACTTCTTACCTAGAAAGTTTTCTTCAAGTTTTCCATTAACCCATTAAGTCACAGGTTTTCAATCCTATATAGAACAATGGGACATAATGGATTAATAGAAGAATGCAGTTTTCCATGCTCTATAGAACATGGAAGGCAATTTCAATGTTCTAGTATTTGCAGGCATAAAGATATGCTTTGCCTCCAGTATGCTTTTCTCCAGAAGATTACCACATGTATGCAGTTCATAAGGCCAATGTGAATTTATTCTGAATGATCAATTCAGAATTCTCACCTTCTTGCATTTTAAATAATGAAAACAGGAAAAATGGAATTCCTGGCTAATGTAAATCCACTTCAAGAATATTATCTGTGGATACAAATGGACAATTTCCAACAGATGGTTTACCTTTTTAATTATTGGCTATAGGTTAAAGGTACCTGGGTTCTTCTTTTGTAACAGAATCCACAGGGTCATCTCTTCTAACCATTGCACAAGGGGTGAAAGCCCTCATAGTCTCAGACTAGTCTCAGAGTGTGATAATGGAGTACCCCAGAAGGTATCCTCAAAAAAAAAAAAACTAAAAACTAACTTGGGGGCAGGGATTGTGGTTCAGTGGTAGAGCACTTACTTGCCTAGCACGAGTGAGGCACTGGGTTCGGTCCTCAGCACCACATAAAAATAAATAAAGGTACTGTGTCCATCTACAACTAAAAAATTATTTTTAAAAAAAACTGATTTGGGAACTCACAGGGTCATCTTGGCCTGCCTTTGAATTAATTTGGGCCTAATGTTGTTTAAGTCCCTAGTACTAGAAAGTAACACATCTCCCCCACATGGAGTATCTCCACTGAACCCACTCCCTCTTCTCACACCCTGCTCTTCCCTTTTGCCGGACCACTTGTCCCCATATGTTTCACATGTCGCTGCCTCTTCCTCCTATGAAGATGTTGGAAGCCATGTGTTGAAGATGTTGGAACCTCTGTCAGCCAGAGTCCCTAAATAGCTAAGTGGAGCAAAACCCCCCAACACCAAGAACCACCTTTGTACTGTCTATGCCCAGTTGTGCTAGGGGAGTGCAATAGGTTGCCAAGAGACCAAGGAAGAGCCTGGAGATGGGATATGAGATGTAGGGTTGATGAGAAGTGCTTACAGGGAGGTTCGTGGTTATGGGCCAGACAGGTATTTTGGCA